TCGTTATTTCAGAGATTTTATTTGAATGTTAATTCTTTTGAATATTTTCGACCTGCGTTAGAACAACCTAACCCGTCAACTGACCATCGTTTAAGTTTTTACGAGATGTCCTGTGTACTGGCCACCGTGCACCCGCGCTTGAACATTTGCAGTCATTGTGTATATTTTACGTGTCTACAAGTGTTATGGTAATAAAAAAATATATCTTCTTGGAAAAAGTAAGTGAAACTATTTTTTATAGTATATATTTTGATGATAAGTGCAAATGTAATCAAGAATAATGAAAAAAAAAAACATGTATTTTTGGCGATTGAATACAAACCGGGCTGTTAAAAAATATACTCTAAAAATTGGCTACCTAACTTTAAACTATTGTATTGAGTATTTATTTTTGAGGAATACCTTTGAACCGTAAAGTTTTATAACAAGCATATAAGTATTTGTTGTGATATAATAATAAATTTACCATAAACATTTTTGCTCGGTAATTATTACCTATTCTTGTGAGTGTTTTAGTTTTTCCCGCCATGATTTTGCAGGTATGCAGGTACTTACGAAAATTGTGTTAGTATATAATATTTTTACATTGTAATTTCACATTTTTTTAGACACACACACTTATCGGAAGTTAGAGTAACTAGATGAGGACCGATGCAATGAGGTTTTGGGTATAACAGATGACCAGGTCATACAATAGTTAGACGTCAGTGATGTGACTCTGATCGTTTCAACGACAGTGTTACTTTGAATACTAGTATCCCGAGCGCACGTATTCGAAGTAATGGATCAGGATATGTAACATCGTCTTCATTCCAGCCACCACAGGAGTGTTTTTTTGCAACCACCACCAATACCATCATCGCCATCTTCACAGGCACTATCTCCACCACCACCGTCGCTATCACAGAGTACCGAAGGTATTACGAGTTAATTTCTCTCTAAATAAGTGGAGCAATAAAATAATTCGAGATTCAGTAATTAAGTAGGCATACAAACCGAAATCACAGGAGATAAGAAATAACCTTTGCTTCATTTTCGAGAAAATGAAAAGAGCTATCATAATCTTATAACATTTTCTAAGAAAAAATATATATATATATATATATATATATATATATATATATATATATATATATATATATATAAAAAAAAAAAAAATATAATATAATGTCTATGAATGCGTTCAATGTGATCTAGCCATATATATATAATGATTTGTACCATTCCATAATGAAGGGCAAATTAAATAACGTATCATTTGATTGATAATACCTATTACTATGTACGATTGTAATAAGAAAAATTGAAAACCTATGTTTTCGAAGAAATATTTTATGTTTATTATATTTGTAGGTTTTGAAGGAATGCATGACTCTAGAAATATCCTCATACATTTCCTCCACCTCCTCATTGGGATGTGCCGAGGTTGGTGCGTAAACCTGTATAACCTTCAGCGAATACCGTTTAGTGATTCTGAGTATCAGATACGCGACCCCCGTCGACACACTCCCAATCTTTACAACGTTGTTGACGAGAGACTTGTGGACGATAAATCCAACGCCTTCTTGGGACAGATGGTCGCCCTCCCGGTGATAGAACAAGTTGCCGGACTCGAGGATTACCGTCCTCCCCCTCTCTTCGGACCTCGGATAATCCAATAATATGCCAGCGCAACTTGTCTACCTCTTCTTCCAACTCCAGTATCTTCTCGTCAGTCCTCAGGGTGCGTGCGTTGTATGTAGCCAGGTTGAGTCGTTGTAGGTGGCAATCGAACCTCCACCGGAGATTCTTAGCACCCCCTGCCCCGCCGTCACCATGTTCGCTACCGTAGCCAGGAATAGCGGGGGAGTGGGGGCCGACCGAGACGTGGTCCTTCACTGCTGGCCGTATGAGGACGCTCAAAGTCGCTCAGCGAGCTATGGAGAGGGCTATGCTCGAATTTTTTCTGCGTGATAAACTTAGAAATGAGGATATCCGCAGTAAGAACCAGAGTGACCGACATAGCCCAACGGATTACTAAGCTGAAGTGGCAATGGGCCGGCCATATAGCTCGAAGAACCGACAACCGTTGGGGAAAAAAGGTTCTCGAGTGGCAGCCTCGTACCGGTAGGCGAAGTGTAGGGCGAACCCCACTAGATGGAGTGATGACCTAGTAAGACATGCAGGAAGTCGATGGATACAGGTGGCTCAGGACCGTGCTTTGTGGCATACCTTGGGGGAGGCCTATGTTCAGCAGTGGACTTGTGAAGGGCTGTAATGATGATGATGATGATGATGATATTTGTAATTGATGACTGATTGTTCTATGTTAAGTAAGTATAATATATTCTATTATTGAAGGCTAATTAGGAAAATCTTAATTGAAGTCTTTTTTTCATATCCCCTCACAAAAATAATATAGATTTCGTTAGTGTCCACTTTACTGGCCAGTGATTTTGCGATGATAGTTAGTGAGGCAGAATGTTCAATGGCCAGTTTACTGGCCACATGATTTTCAGGACTTTCTCGAAAAACAACAATTTTAAGGTATTTTTTCTAAATCATGTCATTAAGATTTACGGCACAGAATATATATGTATCCCAAAATATATGGAATTTAAAAAAAGTTAAGGTGTGCGTTAAAGGGTGTGTGTTAACTTTAATAACATTTACATAATATAATCACGTAGGAGGCATCTATTTTTTAAGTTTTATATTATTTGGACTAGCAACGGGAAGCAAAGTCAAAGGCGCAATACGTCAGGTAATTAGAAAAATAGTAAATATATTTGCAAAATAACATTTAATAAACTAACTTCTAACACTTATTTATTTAATCAAATAAATAAAAGTTGGAAACCAACGCACGTACCGTATGAACGAGTCCAATACTAAACCAATTACTACATTCTTTGTGAAGGAAATCAGAATTCGAACTATTTTGTGCTTAAAGAAAAATAATAAATAGATTAGACATAGAAAATAGAATAATAGTTATTTAGCCATTTATAATTTAGTAAAACCAATGTTGTGCTTTTATGACTTATTAAAAAATCAAACCATAGACGTGATTGTCAAGGACTTGAATTGAAATTTGACATAATTATAATATTATGCAGTAGCGGCAATATTGGTATGAGATTTTAGATTCGAATTTTTCACTGAGACAGTTATTAATACGGACTGATGGCTTGTCACCTCTTATTAAAAGTAAAATTACAGTTTCATATTGCATGTAATTTTAAGTGCCTATTTACCACATGCACCACCTAGAATGTGGTAAATAGTCACTTAAAATTGCAATTTTGAATTTCAGTGATGCCGGCACGGATTTATCTTGCGTTGCTCGCGTACCATGAAATTCTCGGCGAACACTGCCGTATTTAACGTGGAAGAACATCTTACGACGATGACCCTAGCTCAAAACCACCTAAACAAATTGGCTGTATACTAAGAAAAGGTTGAAGAATGTCATAATTTTTTTTATCAGTTCGTCGTATCTTGGTACTTATTATTGCTAGAAAAACAAAGATTTGGAGGAGTAGTTCACATTACTTTTTACACTAACGCTTTGGGATTAAAATTAATATCCTAATAATAAATAATTGTATGTGCGTTGGGTATCCATAATCTTTACCAATAGCAGAAACAAACCAGACTAAAACAAAATATCCCGCGTTTGGAACTAAATAACAGTGGATGAAACTTCGCTTCATTATTATTTAAAACTTAGAAAATAACATCATCTCCAATTACTGAGTTCAGTTGGGGTTTGTTTGGTTTCACTAATGGGTTCACTTTCCTAGGATAGTCAAGAGGTAGCAATGAGTGAACATCTTAATGTCGCACCTAGAGATTTTTATCTATTTCCGACATTAAAGTTGTATCTGAGAGGATAAAGATTTGAAGATATTGAATGAGGAGCCATTGCAGTACAGGAATTTTAAAAATTTGAAAGAAGAGTGCTTTTAGAAGCAAATTTAAGTTTAGAAAAAATACATTCTAAGTATACAAAAGGTGATTGTGTCAGAAAATAAAATAATTTATATAAAACTTTTAACAGAATAAGGGTGTCAAAAAAGCACACAGCCTACCTGATGGTTACTGGATACTGTGGCCCATAGACAGATATTTATTCTTAATTATATCTTCCTTAAGAACAGCAATGGAATGCCTGGTTTTCAGTAAGTGTCTCCGGTTCTCTACATTGATCATACAAAACACCACATTATAAAGCTGCTATCTTATGCTGGTATTCTGTTGGTCCTATCTCAGTCGAGCCGACCCGTTCGTGCTAAAACCTTAAGGTTGTAGCGTGACTATAATGTGTTTTAATATTACTGTTATTTGTAAAATACCCATTTTGATTTTTTTATTGAACGCCACTTTAACTCGATTAAGAATCAAAATGCAGTATAGAGTTAACAGTAACCTTAGAGACCGGCAGCAGCGACTACCATGTAAGAGCTAAAATATTGTAAATGCGATCAGTCTGGTACCGCAAGCGATATTTGCTAGTCTTGTATAGTTCGCGAACCGTGAATTAATAGAAAACATATCGTACCATTGTACTAGAAGAAACGTTTTCGATCGCTGATTGTTAATCAGCTTAATAGCTCTTTTCATCCACCTACATTTGCAAGACGCCGAAGAAATTCAAATACATATATACGAAAGCGAGTGAACAAGAGAATCGGTGAGACGTGAAAGAATATAATTTAATTAAATCAATACAATAACGTATATTTCTGCTTACCATCCGAAAAGATTCAAGACTCGTCTTATTCCCAAATTATTTTATGGTGGGGCGTTAGGATGCTAATTTTAAATCCGGCCCGAATGAACCAGAAAATGGTGTGGCCAATTGTTCCGATTCTAATCCGGGTCGAAGAACCAGAAAATGGTGACGCTAAAGGTTCTTGGGTTCAAATACGGAAACGGATGGTCACTAAATGGTTAGGATGACTATGTTGCATCGTCGTCACCATGTATGCACTTACATGGTGACGACGACGATTACCATGACGATGACGATGAATGACGATGACGTTGAAGATGATGATGACGGTTACGACGACGATTACCATGACGGTGACGATGATGATGATGATGATCATGACGGTGACGACGACGATTTCCATGACGTTGACGATGACGATGACGATGATGACGGTGACGACGTCGATTATCATGACGTTGACGATGATGATGACGATGATGATGACGGTGACGGTGATGATGATGACGATGATGATGACGATGATGATGACGATGACGATGAAGATGACGATGATGACGACGATGATGGTGACGATGATGATGACGATGACGTTGATGATGATGATGACGATGACGACAGCGATGACGATGATAATGACGATGACGACGATCGTGACGATGATTGTAGTGACAATGAGACTACGGAGTTCAGATGACAACTGTTTTGAATAATAAAGGCGTTCTTAACATACAACATTTTAAGACTACCCACAACATCTTCGCCTTATAGAATAAGTTTTTAACAAAAGTGATATATTTTTTTATAATCTTACATACTTGCATTAAAAAAAATCTTAGGTACAAATTATTTTTTATTTTACCATTACCTTGCATAACCTTAACCTTAACCTTTTTTTGTGATTACACTGGATTAATTAAATAGATTTTTTTATTAGCTTTACTTCGAGTAAGAGGAGGAGAATAGATCGGCCTCGGATAATGTATCGGCCAAGTACATATACCTTCCAGGCTTATATGTAACTATCAAATCATAACATTGTAATCGTAAAATCATTCGCTGTTAGCGTGCTGGTATCGAATCTAAGGGCTTTTTAAAAATGCTTTCTAGCGGTTTATGATCTGTTTCAATTAAAACATCACTTTTACCGTAAATATATTGGTGGAACTTCTCACACGCAAAGAGAAAAGCTAGCATTTCTTTTTCTATCGCATATCGTGCCTGTGTGTCGGTGAGTGTACGTGAAGTATATTTAATAGGTCGGCTGCCCTGCAACAACACGGCTCCTAACGCTACACTGCTTGCGTCCACCGAGACTACAGCCAGTTGCGATACGTCATATAAAGCCAACACGGGTGCTTTGCTTATTAAATCTTTTAATAAATCGAATGCATTCCGTTGTTCACTCTTCCAACACCATTCTATGTCCCTTTTCAACAGTCGAGTAAGTGGATAAATACGCTCAGAATACTTAGGTATAAACTTAGATAAATAATTTACGGCTCCTAAAAATCGTTCTAATGATTTTCGTTCTTTTGGAGTTGGCATGTTTTTTATTGCTTTTACTTTTTCTAAATCTGGTTTCATTCCGTTTTTGTTAAATATATGACCCAAGTAAGTCACTTCCTCCACACATATACGACATTTATCTTTATTAAATTTTAAATTAATTTCACTTTCTATGTTCGTCTTTATTTCGCCCCCAGCATATAATATCGTCTATAAAAGAATCTACTCTGTCTAAATCCTCTATTAATTGCTTAATCTTAGCATGAAAGACCTCTGAAGCGCAGTTTAAACCATAAGGTAACCTTAAATACTGATGATACTGCCCAAACGGTGTACTAAAGGTGCATAAGTCTGAACTCTGATCATTAAGTTTTATTGCCCAAAACCTAAATTTGCGTCTAAAACCGAAAAAAAATTAGCTCCGTGAAATTTAGCAAGTTTCTCTATGGTTGGCAGTTGGAAATGTGAACGCTGTATAGCATTATTGAGAGGTCTCGGGTCTAAACAAATTCTTAATGTTCCACTCTTTTTTGCTGCAATTACTATTGAATGAACCCATTGTGTTGGGTGAGTGACTTTCCTAATGACTCCTAAATCGGTCATCCTATGTAATTCTTCTAATAATTTATCACGTAATCCTAGAGGTACTTTTCGCGGAGGCTTAACTGATTTATCAACAACTATATGGTACTCACCAGGTAAGCATCCCAAACCTTCAAAAAGATCCTAATTTTCTACCATATTAATTCCGTAAACACGTTGAATTAATACTAGTTCCGAACACGCTTGTCGACGCAGCACACTTTCACAATTAATATTTGCTAATGAAAATTTTAAAACATACATTTTATTTTTATGCCACCATTTAAGATGACAAACTCCTCTTATCGGAATAACATCCCCGCTAAACGATTGTAAATTAATTTTATTATTATTACATATAATTTCTGTGTTAAATCCCACCGTTAAAAATAACTTATACCATAAGACATTAATGTCGGCACCGGTATCCAGCTTAAAACGTTCAAAGCCACACTCACCTCTTAATACCTCGTACCAGTCGTGACCGCCGATTTTGTTCTGCGTTGTATCCATTAACACAGATACGTAAAAGGACTCACAGTCATCATTATCTGATTTTTCTGTATTCACTTCCATTTCATATATTTTTAACACTATTTTTACATTTGCACATCCTATCGAAAAGGCCGTAGTAACCGCACACATAGCATTTCACTGAAATAGCTGGACATGAACCTACATCAGTACACTGAGCACTACAACGTGGACTAGGCGACGCCGCGGTCCCGCCGTGCGCACCTCGCGCGCCGTGCCGGCCGCCGCGCCGTCCGCCGCCGCACACCGATAGCGCCTCAACCCGCACGGGCCCGCAGCTTGCCGAACTGCTGACGCTACCTGCTTCCATCACACGCTTGCTGTCTATTGACATTTCATCTGCTTGACATATTTTAATTGCTTTCTCCAGAGTCAATTCATCTGTCTGTAGCAACAGGTCACTTACAATTGTGCTCCTTATTCGGCACACATGCATGAATAAAAATTTAGAGCATGAGTTGATTCGCGACCATACGGTCGCGAATCAACTCATGCTCTAAATTTTTAAATTCACAATTTTTACTGAGTAACTTTAACGCTGTTTACAACATAATACTAATTTGGTAACATATTGATCAATGGATTCTCCAGATTCTTGATACCTCGTAAAGAAATTATATCTCAGTAATGTTATATTAGATTTAACACCGAAATACTCATCAAATTTTTTCATCAATATTTCGACGTCCTCACGTCGCTCTTGCTCTTCTGAATCGAACGTAAAAGTCTCATAAACATCAAATCCATCTGATCCAATCAGATTAATAAGCAAACTCGCCTGTATGCTTCCTTCTTCTTTGTGCACCCCCGATGCTTTAAGAAAAAGATTGATTGAAAAAGATTGAATTAAAAAAGATTGAATTGCGCCTTCCACCTTTTCCATGCGTCAGCCCGGCTGACGGGGCTTCCATCTAAACTCAATTCGGGGGGTGGTCTTGCATGCTCCATCTCTTACACTGAATTTACGTTAACAACCACAATTTAAATTAACGTTATTTAAACGTAAAATCCAAAATTATTTAAGTATTTTAACCGCTGCCTCCATGTAGTGACAATGAAACAACGGAGTTCAGATGACAACTGTTATTAATAATAAAGCGGTTCTTAACATACAACATTTTAAGACTACCCACAACTTAGAGGATTATGATGACGATGACGATCACTATGACTATGACGACGACGATCCAAGTATGTAAAATAAAAATATTTTCAAATATGGATTATAAATTGATTAAAACTACTTCTACGGATTTCATCGCGTTTAATTCTATCTATTTTTAATTTCCAACTTTCCGGATGCTTTCCAGCACCCATGATCACAATTGACTCAGATAACTGACGTCCTGATATCATTTTTAAACCCGAAGTACCTTCAGATTTTTTATTATGGTACGATCTATCTAAAAAAATATCTAAAAAAAATCTGAAGGTACTCCGGGCTTAACAATGACATCGGGACGTCAGTCATCTAAGATAACTCCCCGTGACCATGGGTGCTGGAAAGCATCCGAAACGTTGGGATTTAAAAATATATAAAATTAAACGCGATTATAATATTCGTAAAAGCAGTTCTAATCAATTCATAATCCAGTCAGTTTATGATGTATATATCTACACATACACGCATGTACATATATAAATAATTACGTAAATACATACACTATGTACACATAAATACACAAATATATATTCATATATATATATATATATATATATATATATATATATATATATATATATATATATATATATATATATATATATATATATATATATATATATACAAACATAATATGTATTAGATATCACTCTTGACATTAACTTCAACAAACATGTATTCCATTGAGAACCAGAAGTACCAGAGTATAGGGAAGAAGATGTGTTTAATATTTTATTAGAAAGGTACGCAGATAGAAAGTGACACCTCCGTCTCTTTTACCAGTACCAGTTACGGATTATTCGTATATTAACGTACGTAGCGTGGCAGGCTTATCCGGTGCATCAACACGTGAAAGGGAAGAGGAACTGTTGTAAGTGGAATAAAAAGATTCTCCATTCGACATTAAATAAAAATATTTAAAATAGTGAAATAATAATGATAATATAATAAAATAATATTAAATATATATATATAAATATTTAAAATAATAAAATTATATTTAAATAAATATAACCGAATATTCAAAAAATATCTAAAGATATGCATATCTCCATACATCAACCTCCGACTAACCGTTTACAATCTTAAAAATAACACCAGGAAAATAAAAGGAAACAAATGCCAAGTTATAACAAAATAGAAAAAAATCCATAAACGAGCAAAGCATTTAAAAGTAAAAAATTAAAGAAAGTTCAATTAAAAAACAAAGTACTAAGTAATTAGGCTAGATTATTACATATAACTAAAATGAAGTTGTATCAAAAACTTGTGTAAATATTCTGTCAATAGCAATGTAATTAGTATGGCAGAAGGCCATGTAACCAAAGCCAAAAATATAACAAGCTGTCTATACCATCTGAAATCTGTGAATAGTTTGAAACATCTTTCTTTAATTCTTACTATATAACGTGTATTGGTAATATTATAAATATAAATGGACATATTATCCCTTTGTCATCTTGAATTTAATCATATTACTTTAATGATATTCGGAAAGTACAGTGACAATCAATACATGTAAAAAATAGTATCCATACCACATTTGTACACAGACAGGCACTCTATTTTGCCGTAACTAATAAAAAAGATTTTCCATGGACTTTGAAGTACCTGTAAACGCTGAATGTACCTACAACTCTTTTATTTGTACTATTATTCAACAGTGCACTATTTTAACTTATAATACCGGTAAAAACTACTATAAAATCGCATTTTTTTAGGATTCATATTTTAGGTATTACACTCATTTTCAAAAAGTGATTAAATTAATCCTAGAGTGATAATGAACCGCTATAATTGTTATATGTTTTTTTTAACCGAATAGTGCAATAAAAATTATATTACGTAAAATGTTTTTAAATTTTCGTGTGAAAACGCTAGCCGCCATGTTATTCAACTCGTGACGTCGC